CATTTTGATTTGTGTGTGACGAAATGGCGAACCTGGTCGCAGTTTACAACATGAGACCGAGCGGTCGCACGAAAGAAGATCTGGAGGAGCTTTTCCCGTTGGGATGCCGGATTGCAATCAAGGAGCCTTACTTCAAAAGATTTATGGACGGGATGGTGGGGATCCGTGTGGAGAATCCTCAAGACATAGTTTTTCTCAGCACTGAAACAATTCCCAAAGTTCCGAAAGTTCCCGAAGTTCCCAAACGGCCCTCGTCTTCCTCGTCGCCCTCGTCATCGTCATCTTCGCAAAAACGCGGACAAGAACTCGGAATTTGAGAGAAGGGGAACGAGCTTTACAGTTTTTTTTTTTTTTTTTGTAAATACCTATCCCTTAAAAAAGAATAAATAAAAATATATGTTTGACACCCTTCCCCCCCCCCCTCCAACCCCCCCTCCTCTTCCCCTTCCGCGTGGAGTCCATCGTTCGAAGAGTTTTTTTTGCGGTAAAACAAACAAAAAAGAAAGAACAAAAAAAATCAAATGGCTTTTTTTTTTTCTCCCTGTGCGTTATACTTCTTAGTTTCCTTTGTTTCCTGGGTATTTTAAACTACGTTCCTTAGTTTCCTTTGCATTAAATCCTCGTGTGACGATTTTTGGTCTGTGCGTGCTTGCAGACTGTTGCAGTTGGTGTCTGATTGATTTCCAAAAGCGAATGAATGTATACAACCGAACTTTTCGGTCGCATACAGAAATTTCTGGGCTCATCTCATGCTCGCCGTGGGATGGTGGTTGCTGGAATGTTAGGTGAATCTGGAGGTTTGCACGCGTTGACTCTGCGAAGAGTCCAGAAATTCCTGTATGTGACCGGAAAGTTAGCTTGTATACATTCATGATTAAATCTAGGCTTCGCTGATGCATGCCTACAGGGTCCTTATCTGGCTGGTCTTGAGTCTCAATAACTGCTGCTCTGTTAGTTGGCAGCATGAACCTTGCCCAGTTCCTGGCCAGATTCATGTACCGTACCGAGTATACTCTGTATGCAGCGGACATTGCACCCCCGTTTTACGTCGAACGCAACTTACTTTTTTTTTTTTTTTTTTTTCAACTTACATTTATGATGACTGTATGCGACCGCAAAAAAAAATAAAAAATCGCATGACTGTATCCAAAGCAGTGAGATGCCACTGAATTTTCGCTGCCGAGCAGTAAGAAGAAAAAGACAAATTGAGCGAGGAAAAAATGGAAAAAAAAAGCGAAAAATTCTGATAAGCGGGTCTCACCAAGGCCTATTTGCTGGCAAAGAGTGAAAAGAGAAGCGAAAAACAATAAAAGGGGGAGGGGGGGAGAGGGGACACTAAAAGCAAAACAACGACCTTGCCTGGGGCGCACCTGTCCTGCAAGAGGAAGGCCCCGATGAGGAGACATAGGACGAGTAGTAGCAGCAGGAGTGAATCTGAACACTATCCTGTGTTGAAGACGACGTCGGTTTTTTTTCGCATAAACCGAGTGCATGCTGACCCCGACGTAGTTCATATCAGAGACCGAGTGCATGCTGACCCCGACGTAGTCCATATCAGAGATAGAGTGCACGCTGACCCCGACGTAGTTCATATCAGAGATCTAGTGCATGCTGACCCCGACGTAGTTCATATCAGAGATAGAGTGCATGCTGACCCGGACGTAGTTCATATCAGAGATCGAGTGCATGCAGACGTACGTGGGGATAGATTCACTACCGTCGATGTCGACGTAGGTTGTTTTTTTTTGTTTTTTTTTGTTTTTTTTTTCACAGCTTCCGACCTATTCATCGCTGATCTTGTACGCGGGACTGCTGCGACTGTGAGTAGCGGTAGGACTGAATCTGACCTTTATGAACGTCTGCATGCATTCGGTCAGTGAAGACGATCTCGGCCCGTAAAGGCAACTGCATGGCCAAGAAGATTTCATAACTTTTCATTTTTCTTTTCACGTTCGTTCATCCCTCGAGTGTCTCGTTTTTTTTTTGGGAGAAAAGAACTTTCCGTGGTTTAGGTCTCAAGTTGCAGCACTGTTGACAGTGTTGAGTTATCAGTGGTAGAGATTTCTTCGACGATGTCTGTAGTACGAGTCGAGGAAGGGGGACGCTGGACCCGGTTTCCAGCACAAGCTGAAGCTGAGTAATGGCCTCCCGGGCTTCAGCACAAGCTGAATTTGAGTAATGGCCTCAGTTCTTGGGGGTTGTTTGTGAGGAATTCCCGGCCTCCTTTCTATTTGCAATGAAATGATCATAATTTTTTCCCAAAAGAAAAAAAAAAAAAAAAGAAAAAGAAAAAGCCCGCCAAGTTCAACTGAAAAATATCCCCCTAAAGAAATAAAGCCTCTTAGGAAACTTTATGAGACATCATTATTTTTCAGCGCAAACTGTTATGAGACTCAGTCTGATAAAACAGCTAACCCAAGAGACCCATTCCCCAGCTATCTTAATAAGGTACTACCCCCCCCCCCCC